TGATTAACCGAATCAAAAGCCTTCTTGAGGTCAAGAAAAACTGCTGCTACTACACCCCCTTTACCCCTTTATAATAGATTCAGTGAGCTTGTAGCACTATCAACAAGATGTTCAATGTTGGACTGACTGAAGTTATCACAGGAGTCCTCTGTTATGTTGAAAGATGGTATTGAGTTAAATAGACGGAATCGCTTCTTTAAATTGAGCTACGGCACCATCAGATAGACATCTAGTGTAGAAACCTTTGCCTAATGGTGTACACTCTGTTAGTAGGAATTCAAAAGTTATTAGATAATGGTCCGATAAAAGAGGAAAGACTATTAAATCTTCTATTTTAATGCCATAAGTCAGAATCAGGTCGAGGGTTAAAACAGTGAGTGGGTTTCTGTACATTCTGACAGAAACCAATCGAATAATGAGAAACGCAGTACTAAGATCTGATATTTAAGAGTCCACATTTAATTACAGTTGCACTGGCGTTAACTTGGATTAGGTAATTTAGTTTAACTCCTCAACTGTTTACTTTTGATTTAATTCATTTAAGTGGCTGTGGTGGAGACACAGTCTCTATATGGTTTTTTACATTAGTCATTTAGCAGATGCTTTTATCCAAAGCAACTTACAATTCAGATTCTATGGCACAGCTACGGGAGCAATTTTTTGGGGTTAAATTTTTGGGACACATCAACATGCAACTAGCAGAGCCAGAGCTCGAACCGCCGATCCTCTGATTGAAGGACGGCCCTGCTCTCCACTTAGCCACAGTCGCCCCCGCCTCGTTTTGGGTGGGTAACTGCTCTCATGGAAAGAATGGAAGTGTGTAAAACTGCAACTCTGCTTCAAACTCAAAGATGAATTAAAGCTGCGTAGATCGGGCCCTCGCAACTTCATGCACGTCGAGGGTACTAGCAGGACTCTGGCCATGCATTTCTGTGACTATCATACATTGCGTGCACGAGTTAAACGGTATTTCCTGGTACTGGCAGGACTCGGTGTGATGCGGCCATGAATTTCTGTGACCATCATACACTGCGTGCACGAGTTAGATGATATTTCCTGTGTCGACCAGCAGCGAAGCAAGATCATGTTGCCAGGTCTTAAGCCTCAAATGTTTTGAGTGTACCTCCGTTACAATCATAAATGTAAGCCTGTTAAGATCATTAAGAAAATAAATGTGTGTGAATGCACTTCAGTGTTTGTAACATAACAGACTGTCAGTTTACTGGGATGGGGTTCAACTCCCTGCAGTGTCCTGCTGATTGTATTTGGACTTACATGAAAGTTAACAAAACGGTAGTGGACTTTGCTGTTACTTGAACACTTTAATTTAACACTGTTTTCATTTTAAGTTCTTCTGTAACTTTAGATTGTAGTGTGAAGCATTCGTTGTAACATTTTACCTGATTGTCATGAAGAAGCACTGGACAGATCATTTATACTAATGCCCACGGACATGGTTTGAGAATCCACTGTTATCTAACGTTTGCTCTCCAAGCATCTTAGTTTGCACATATTTAGATCAGAGAAGTCATTCTTTTCTCATGGTGTGCCCACAAACCCTTTCAATAAGTTCAGTGTTTGGGCCGCTGTAATTATAGAATCCTGCTTACGTCCGTGCTGATCAGTAGGTGGCGCTATGACTATGAGTTAATATTGGCATGCAGAAGTCCTAAAGCCATGACAGTCAACAAGCATGTCAAGTTTCGGACAGTTTTGACAAAGTACAGTCGAGTTACAACAGCTTGATGGATGATGGTGAACCATGTAAAATGGCCGTCACACTATATCCACGTCGTTCGATGAAACCTAAAGCTTTTAGTAACTTTTAATCGCTACGGTCTTTAGATTGTTCTGACCAAATTCTAAGCTGATCGGATTAATTCCCTAGGAGGAGTTCGTAGTACAGCACCTGGAAATGGAAAAAAAAACACGAGAAATTCATACAAAATTCAAAATGGCTGACTTCCGGTTGGGTTTAGAGCATGGTCCCAAGAGACTTTATTTTAAGTCCACTTGTGATACATGTGCCTCCCAAATTTTGTAAATCTATGTGAAACGTACAGCGAGGGCTGCTTCGTCGAAATTTTGTAGGGGGCGCTATTGAGCCGATTTGCCACTCTGAACCAATAAAATCATATTCCATAACTAAATTTTGGGCTTGTAATCTGCTTGCCAAGTTTGCTTATGTTTCGAGCATTTTTAGCCTGTCAAAATGACCTTCGTTTTTAACGGCGAAGACTGCGCGCCACGGCAACGGCGTTCGACGAAACATCAAAAGCTTCATGAACTGGTATTACGAACTTCTTACATTTGTGTGGAAGTAATTTGATGTTGATTTGATTTACCTACTAAGAGAAACAAGCCAAAGTATAAAGCCTTTAATTTCCTGTTACCAGTAGGTGGCGCTATGACTATAATTCAAAATTGGCCTGCAGATGTCTTCAGGCCGGGAGTCTAATCAAACATGTGCAATCTGGTAAAGATCTGATGATGTGGAGTTGAGTTACATCAGTTTATTCGTTCATGGCGAAGGATCGAAATTCGCCGAGCCGCCACGTCGCCGCCCTTCAACAACTTCTTACAATCTTCACAATGAAGCATTATCAAGGTCTTAAGGCTGTTCTGACAACATTTTAGAGGGATCTGATTAATCTGTGTGGAGCAGGATGTCAAAGTACACAACTTACAACTTCCAGTTGCCACTAGGTGGCGCTATTACTATGATTCTAAATTATTACATAGATGTGTTCCGGGTCAGGATGTTGTGACATATGAGAGATTTGGAGCAGATTCGACAATGAGTTACAACAACTTCCTGTTTCGCGGCGAATGGTGTTTTTAGTTCGACACATAGTTCGATAACTTTTTGAGGAGTTCGTTGAAGTATGACGCCTTGAAACGGTCCAAAAACGTCATAGAATTAAAAATGGCCGACTTCCTGTTTGGTTTAGAGAAAAACCCCTTGGAGGATTTTTTGTGTGTCCCATCACGATCCACATACGTACCAAATTTCAGACAGCTAGGTGAAACCCAATGTTGGGGCTACTCAATAGGGGGCGCTATCGAGCCAGTATTTCATACCGCAGTTGGACACCCCAATCAGACTGCAATTTTCGCAAATTCTGGCTTGCGTGCCAAATTTCGACATTTTCCCAGTATCCCAAGCACCTCCTTTTTGCGACGAAAGAATAAGAAGAAGAATAATAATAAACAATCGAAAAACAATAGGTCCTCCGCTCCGACTACGTCGGTGCTCAGGCCCTAATAATCTTCCTGTGCTTTCCCTAAGAGGACGCCAATTTCTAGCCTTAGCTACTGTGGTGGCGGGGCGTGGTTGGGCTCAGCTGCAGAGGGGACATAGTGGGGGAGTGGTTCAGGGAACGGTGCCGGGCCTGCAGAGAAGTGAGAGGACAGAAATAGGCCAGAGAAAAGGACAAGGCGGAGAGGAGGATCCACCATGAACATGTAAGTATATCGTATTTTAGCAAGACCCAGCATGCACCTTATGTTCAGGCAACCGGGTGGTGCACTTAATCATTGATTACCAGATATACCGTAGATGCAACCTTTCTACTGATGTCGAGGTACAATAATGCTTATTTTTTACCACAACCCATAATGACGTCATTCCTCATTCCATTGCAGTGTTGTGGATTTGTGTGTTGTGCTAGGCCTTTTTGGGGGAGTTTTTCCTGTTCTGATGTGAGGGTCTTTGGACAGAGGATGTGTACAGATTGTAAAGCCCTCTGAGGCAAATTTGTGATTTGGGACTATACAAAATAAATTGAATTGAAATGTAGCACAAAATACTTCAGTACATTTAAATTACTTTTTACAGTATACTCCAAAAAGTACCAGTTCACAAAAATATTACTTTGTTTCAGTAATGATTCAATTACATTAGTTACTTCGAACCCTGATTTTATCTATTAATTGTGTCGCCATTTAAACTAGATTTGGACAAAATTACTTGTATTTACTTCTGGGCACAAACATCACAAACAAGGACAACAATTAGTAAATGGTTTTTTTTAATTGAAGGAAAAGGCCCTTCTAAACAATTAAAAAGACAACACAGAATTATAAAAAGTTGTCTGGTCTCATCTGTTCAACAATAAGTCAAAATAGAGCTGACATGGCTATTATTCTCGACATCCACATGAATATTAAAGTCACCTACAATAATCTTTATCTGTTTTAGAACTAAACTTGATAAGAACTCTGAAAATTCCGATAGGAAATCAGAATACGGGCCTGGGGCCCGGTACACTATAACACATATAACTGGCTGTATTGTTTTCCACGTTGGGTGTGAAAGACTAAGAACCAGGCTTTTAAATGAGTTATAGTTTAGTTTAGGATTAGGGTTTAATAATAGGCTTGAGTTAAAGATGGCTGCTACTCCACCTCCTCGGCCGGTGCCTCGAGGAATGTGAGTATTAATATGACTTGGAGGAGTTGATTCATTTAGGCTGACATATTCTTCATTACACAGCCAGGTTTCAGTAAGACAAAATAGTTCAATATGATTATCTGATATTAAATCATTTACTAGTACAACTTTAGATGACAAAGATCTGATATTTAAGAGTCCACATTTAATTATCCTATTTTGTTGCACTGTTGCGTTGGTGTTAACTTGGATTAGGTTATTTAGTTTAACTCCTCGACTGTTTACTTATGATTTAATTCATTTAAGTGGCCGTGGGGCAGACACAGTCTCTATATGGTTTTGGGTGAGTAACTGCTCTAATGGAAGCGCAGAGAAGTGTGTAAGACTGCAACTCTGCTTCCTGGTCTGAACTCTGGGTTGTCATGAATTAGGTCCACACAGAAACTGGGTCAGATTTGTAGAAATGGGATCTGCTCCATCCAAAGTGGGATGAATGCCGTCATGATGCTTGGTGCTCAAACAGTCACAGTTGATGGACAATGTTTTACTGATGTTTCATTTTTAACGTGAAGATGTCGGCTGTTTACATTCCTTATGATGCAAATTCAAAAAATGCTCTACAGGAATGTACTACTGTTTTTATTTAGTTTGTCATGTGTTTGTTGTGTTACAAATAATAAGCTACTTCTAAATTCCGTTAGGCATCCCTGTGTTGCATAATGACAATAAATGTTCCTTTAACCATTGATGTCTGGATACACCAATCGAAATAGAATCATTTGCAAATAAAGTGCAGACAGTCTGTCTTAAATATGTTATTTGAGAAGGTGATGGGATTGCCTGCAGTCTGAGCCTATGTTGCTCTGTCCTCTCTCTGTACAGCTGTGGGTCAGTGGAGTGTCTGGTTCTGCTGCTAAAGAGAGGAGCCAACCCAAACTACCAGGACATCTCAGGCTGCACCCCTCTGCACCTGGCTGCTAGGAACGGGTACGAGCCTCGTACTACATTTAAACTCTGTTCACATGTTCAGCTTTTATTATAGGTCTTGGTCCTGTGAGTTCAGTTTTACACTTGTAGTTATTTGCTGATTTGATTTGAACACATTGTGTGAATCTTTGAAGTCCAGCAAACATGTTGAATGCATTTCTTTCATCATAAATCATTTGCATAGCCACATTTTGAAGTATTTCAAATACTGTATTGTTTACATCTGTGATTACTATCACGCAGCCTTCTTCCCTGCCTTTTGGTGGCACATTGTCATCTTTCTTGGCACATTACTTCCACCTGTGAAAGGATGTGCAGGAGACAAACGTAACCGGGACCCAATCATAAAAACCGGCTCCATAGCACTACTGAAGGTAGAGAAGGAAAAAAACTGCTGGATACCTTGAACTCTCCTCTAGAAGTTTTGCCAGTGGGATTAGTGCGTGTCCAACATTTGGCCTCTCACTCATTATTCTGGTAATATGTACCATCCGAGACAACCTCCAACCAGTATGGTGTTGATGGGTAGACGTGCTCTGTGATCTTATGTCATCCATTCACATCTTTCCTGGATTTCTGCTGCTTGATTCTACTGTTCACATGGAGATAAATGTACCTGTATGAATCCATTTCTCTGATTGTTCTTATTATGCTTATTAGACTTCTAGATTTGATTTGCATGTGGTTACTGATAGATGTGTGAAAACAAGTGAGTGAGTGTGTGATAACACTGCTACTTAACACTTGCCTTCACTGTTTCCTCAGACAGAAGAAGTGTATGGGCAAACTGCTGGAATATAATGCTGATGTCAACATCTGCAACAATGAGGGACTGACTGCTGTGAGTTGATTTGAACCCTCTGGCTGTTGTTCATGTTGCATTGAATGTCTTCAAATCATTGTAATCCTGTTATCTCTGTGACTGGTGGTTATTTAAGTCCTGTAGTCAGGATAATGATTGTGCATGTGAACCTCTGCTTCAGATCCACTGGTTGGCAGTGAATGGGAGGACGGAGCTCCTCCATGATCTGGTCCAGCATGTGTCCAACGTGGATGTGGAGGACGCCATGGGGCAGACGGCTCTACATGTAGCCTGTCAGAACGGACACAAAACTGTGAGCCAATTTCAAATATCTCTTTTATTGAAATTATCTGTATTTGTAGCCCTAGTTAGAGCACTCTAACTAGGCAAACAATCTTAGTCTTTGGATTGATCAGTCAGCCAGCCTCGCAGTATGGCTTCTCAGGGCTTCTTGTTAGGTTTTTAGGCCTTTCAGGGCTAAACACTGAATTTTTAAAGTGGTTGTCAGGCTGGTACTTGGCAGGTGGTTGCTGGAACTGAAAATATGGTTGCTATTTGTAGTTTCCTTTATATTTTGAGTAAGATACTTTGCAGTTATATGTCAGCTTAATGATGAAAATAAGACATTAAGGGTAAAAGTTGTAATACAGTAACAGAGCAACATTTTTGTAAATTGTGTTTTATCTGATAGAATGTAATTCTCAATTGATAAGAGGTAACATATCCACTCACAACTCTAGGTACCAAATACCAGTAGTGCAGCTGTGCTCTACACAGATCCCTCAACAATGAATCCAGCAAGCATCTGGTTGCATCTGGTCTTTTCTTTCCAAATTTTGGTTTTCTAATATTGTAATATTGGCCATGAAGACAGTGTTGTAAAGCCTGGCCTTCCTGCCTGGATGTGAACCTGATACTATCAGATAAGACGTGTGTGTGTGTGTGTGTGTGTGTGTGTGTGTGTGTGTGTGTGTGTGTGTGTCAGGAATAGCTTCCCCTCCATGCTTAGCCAACACATCGCTGTCCATTTACTGAGCCTGCATGTGAGTTAGTGTAGCAGCCATTACATTCACTGTGTCAGTGAGGTAACGATACAGGCTTTCGGTTGAGCGTAGCATGAGCCAGCCACAGCAGAGGGTGCACTCGCTTACGCTGTGAGGACGGAGCTACTGTCCAAGCTTGGGCCTCTTCCAGAAGTTTCAGAAGTAATATACCGGATATGATTCATTAGAGAGATTGCCTTTTATCCTATTGTATATTTAGCAATTACATGATGAGACACCAAAGTCATTTCAGTAAATCTTGAAATTGTTGTAGTTGAGTGTTGTTGACATTAGTCATTTTTTTCTTCTTTTTATCCCAGTGAAATATTTTTTGAGTGAACATGTTGTGTCTGCTTAGACGGTGTTGTGTCTTCTGGACAGTGGAGCTGACATCAACCGGCCCAACGTCTCTGGAGCCACGCCTCTTTACTTCGCCTGCAGGTGATCTCATTGTAATGTTGTAGATTCATAGTGTGCTCTCAACCTCTCTAAAGGCACCGGGGCGCTCAATGATTTTGCACTTCAATATATTTTTTATGTTGTTTTTGACAAGCAACCTTTCAAAGAGAGAGCTAGTTTTACGTGGAAAAAAAGCAACATCATTTGTTGAGCAGTTCGCACTGTTAATATGTGCATCCATCAATTCAATTGTGTCGAATATATATTCAAAACGGTAGCTACAGTGGAAAACAACACGGAGGCTACAAAGTCCAAAACAAAACGGACAATTTCTTTTCAACCTTGACGAAGGCAGCGCACAGCAGATCCAGTCCCTTTGTGTTCCCTTACAGTTACACAATATCAAGCCCCAGATAATTCGCTAAAAGTAAACTCAATAGAATCACAGAAGCTTAGACTATAAAATAATTGCTCTGAGTCAATAGGATCCTGGAGTTGGTCTTCTGCCTGTGTGAATCTATTTGAAATTGAATGAAAAATTGTTACAACTGTCACAAATATACACCGCTGTTGGTATCAATAGTTTTAATGCGAGCTATTCGCAGGTGCATTTTTGTGTTTTTTTGTCATAGGAACGTGTATAAAGGCCTTCACTTTTATACTTCTATCACTGTCACACTCATTAATTCTCATGTCAGAATACTAAAGTAAGCCAGAATATTGGGGAATAAAATGTTCTAAAATACCCATTATAGCCATAATGTGACGCTCCATTACTGTGTTATTCTGTAGCCATGGCCAAAGAGACACAGCACTGATCCTGCTCTCTCGAGGTGCCAAATACCTCGCTGACAACAATGGAATCACTCCTCTGGATCTCTGTGTGCAGGTGAGTTTTTGTTTTTTAACCACTTTTTGCACTTCATACTTTTTCCTCTTAGTGTTGTTCAGTTCACGTGGTTACTGTCCCACCTTTTGTGTGTTCAGGGTGGATATGGGGAGACCTGCGAGATCCTCATCCAGCACCACGGCAGACTTTTCCAGACTCTCATCCAGATGACACAAAATGATGAAATGAAAGAGAACATGGTATGTCCAGTTTGTCTCTGCATCCCTTGATAAGCCCTGTGTATACACTTCTATTGACATGTGTGTTTGTGTAGCTCAGGCAGGTTATGGAGCATGTCTCTCAGCAGAGTGACAGTCATTACCAGAGGATCTTGACCAGTCTTGCTGAAGTGGCTACCACTAATGGACACAAGCTTCTCAGGTATAATTGTGTATAATTGTACATATTTGATTTACATATTTGCTTTCTTTTCCTGCCTTGAGTTCGGCATTTTGGCCATTGCCTTCTAAATTTTTGGCAGTAGCCATCTTGGTATTTTGGAACCAGAAGTGAAACGAGAGGGTGGAGCTAAGTACAATTGAACCCAGAATAAGTCATTTTAATTTAGCTAAAATGTTACAATGAACTTAAATAAACTGAAAATGCACTGTGAAAGGGAGAAACACTGACAACACCCAGAATTTACAACGCTATGGTAGAAACCTGTCAATCACCGTGTAGCCCCGCCCTAAAGCATCCCCTGCTTTATGGTCTGTTTGACTCTAAATGGACCATAATTTACTAAATGAACATCATGCTGTAATGAAGACTTGAAACTATAGACTGAGACCATAAACTCATGTTTACAATGTTTACTGAGGTGTTAAATCAAGAGAGAAGTAGAGTCATTTTCTCATAGACTTCTATACAACCAGAGGAGTTGCCCCCTGGTGGACATTAGAGAGAATGCAGCTTTAGAAGATCTGTATTTAACATTGTGAACATTATCCCTCGTTTGCTCTCTGTCCATCATCAGCCTATCCAGCAGTTATGAAGCTCAAATGAAGAGTCTGCTGAGAATCGTTCGTATTTTCTGCCATGTATTCCGCCTGGGCCCTTCATCACCCAACAATGGCAATGACATGGGCTACAATGGCAACAAGACGCCTCGCAGCCAGGTCTTTAAGGTAAGTAGGAGCTGTACATACGGTATATTGTAATCTGCAGGTGCTGTAAGAACCACCGGGTAGGCTGCTGGAATGGAAGTATGCTCTGTTATTTGCAGAAGTGTGAGATTAAACCAACCAAACCAACAACAAATATTTTTTTCTATTTAACTGTATGTCAAAACTGATGATCACCAATGGAAATTATGATCTGGTCAATGCTTAATTCTGTATGCACATCCAAAGGACAGAAATATCAAGGCTAAACCTTTTTCCAATAATATTTTGTTATTGATCATTCAGGGAACAATGGAGTATTCATCAACCACAGCTGACAACAATTGAGAAGTAAAACGATATGATAAACAAACTTAAAAAATCCAGTGGCTGTTAAATATCTTCGAGGCAACATGAATATTGTTCATGAGGAGAGGGGTTGTCAACATCACTCGGACCAATATATCCACCAATATTGGCTCATAACAAATAGACCAACATGCAGTGTGACTGCGTATGTTGGCGATTAAGTAACAGGAAATGTCACTGCAGAAATCTCAAAGAAATGAGTTCATTTAGAAACAATGTCCTAATTGCAAAGTTTGTCAGAACACTAACATGTTTATTTTTGCACTGTCCTGCTCACTACATATATTTGTCACTAATCTTTAAGAACCACATTTAAGTGACCATCATCAAAAATGTTTGTTACACAAAGAAAGAGACTCTTTGTGGGTTGTCACTACGAGTGACCCCTTATACATAACTGAAAACATTGATTACTGCAGCTTTAAAGTTAAACTTTTGTGTAGAGTTTGAAAATGTCTTTGCTAGTGGTGGTATCAAAACCAACACTGGGGCAATAGTGTAACTTTGTGTTAGTTGCTTCTTTTATTGGTAGATTGTTGGTAACGCATCATAACCTGGTATATCTTGATCATACTGACTTGACTGTATGTCCTTTCAACTAAAACAGCACCAATAAGAATTGACTCCATTGGTTGCAGATGTGTGCGAGACAGATGGAGGTGGAGACGGTACAAAAAGATGAATGTTCCTGGACAGGTTCTGCTGTCTTTGATGTGAGCCATGGACATTTTTATCATTTGCAGTTGAAATTTGGGAAACATGATCTCTGGAACCCTGCAATCTCATAATCATACTTACTATTGTCAAGGTAGCTGGGTGTGTACATTTAATCTCCCACTGAATGAAAATCTGATGGATGATTTACTCTGATATTTAATGTTCCATTTGAAAATGATTGGCACTGTGGCATTTTGGTGGGTTTGGACAGAGTTAGGGTTGGGCAATATGAATCAAATTGTCTTTCATGCTACTTGCCATTTTTTATTGCAGTACAGTATATGATTATGAACAATGATATGTAATACCAGAATATATATATATATATATATAAATATAATATTGTTATAAAGCAGTTCTGCTCAATGATTTTCAACACTGCCTGCACATCTAACACAACAAAAAAGTTAAAGCGGCAGTTACTTGGGTAGAGATTGTATAGCGGTATCTCTGTAAGTAAACATAGCACAGAAAGTAAGGACATTAGTGTTTGGTAGATTATTTCTCTGTTGCAACGATGCTTCTTGGCAATAAATCTTATACTGTTGGAAAGCCTGATTAAGTCACATTTGTGGGATGAGCAGCACAGCTGAGTATGTGGGTTGCACCCATGAAAAATTTGTCAAATCTTCTCTGCCAATGCCAAACAGCTTATTCTGCCATTGACTCGTTTGGTGTTGTTTGGTGGATTAGATGATTGAAGTCTGAAGAAACAAGACATATTGGCAATTCAACAATGTATTCATTTAACAAACAGGAGCCTCAGTAGCGTGTGGAAGAACCATACACAGCCACATCAGCCTGGCTCCTCCTGCTCACACTGCTGTGGGATGGCATCCCATTCTTCAAAAAGCATTTGTCGCAAGTCAGCCAATGTGGTTGTGTTGGTCACTCTGGCACGAACAGCACGCCCAAGCTGATCCCACAAGTGTTCAATGGGTTGAGTTCAGGACTGCTGGCAGGCTATTCCATCCTCTCCACTCCCAAATTCTGGAGGTAGTCTCTGATAAACAGCTCTGTTGGCATTGGCAGAGAATTTTTGGTAAATTTTTCATGGGCGCAACCCACATACTCAGCTCTGCTGCTCATCACATAAATGTGTCACCATTTAAAAGGGAAATAAACAGGCTTTCCAACGGTATAAGATTTATTGCCAAGAAGCATCGTTACAACAAAGAAATAATCTACCAAACACAAATTTCCTTACTTTTTGTGATATGTTTATAACATGTTTCATAGTATACTGTTTATTTCAATATTGCCCAACCAGAAATAGAGTCTTCAGGTTATTTTTACTGCTCATATAGAACATTTCTATAAAAAAAACCTTTCTAAAATGATTGTTAACAAGATTCTGCTGTGGCATAAAACTCAAAAAAATCCGATCATGTATGACTTTTTTTCAAGTTTTTTCTTTCAAGTAACAGAAAAGTACATCGACAACCACACAGAAAGTTCTGGTTTAATTAGGTTTTGAGACACCTGTCTTCAGATAATGTGGACTTTGCAGAGGAACAAGGACTCCGTTTCACCAGATGTTACTGTTGACCTTTTCACTTGTCATTATTTCACCGTTATGAGCTCTACAAACTAAATTTCAATCACATTCATTGTATTTAAGTAGACACAAAAAGAATCGGAGACAAAAAAATACACAACATTGTTTTGAGATATAGCACATAAGTAAAATATATATTCGTGTTATTTGGATGAACCGACCCATTAAAAGCAAACCTCTATGCTGGTGCAACTGACGGTATCCTCAGGTCCTTGAAAATTGTGATAATGCTCCTTACAATGACCTTTACTAGATTCAAAATTGTCATGGCTTGTACTCACTTGGACAAATGTCAGTCTTAACTCCATCCCAGACAACTTGAAACATGTGCTAAAGCCTTGATTGAAGCTTTGTAAAAACCTGCAGACATCCTGAAAGCCAGAGTCACTCCTCTCTCGTGATGTTTTCATGGATGACTCCCTTGGTTTTCTCTTTGATCCTGTGTGGCTCTCACCTCCTGTCTGTGTCTCTGCAGCCATTGGAGCTGCTGTGGCACTCCCTGGATGAGTGGCTGGTGCTCATCTCCACAGAGCTGGAGAGGAACAGGAAGAACCCGTCTTCCTCCTCCTCCAGCAGTGAGATAGCCTCTCTGCTTCTCAAACAACGGGAGGTCGACCACTCTGGCTCCAAGCCAAAGCTGCCCTCCTTGCTGGACCGTGAAGCCGTCATGGAAACAGAGGTGTACGCCGATGGGGAGGACGTCATCTCCATGACAGCCAGTCGGCTCAGTGCTGTGATTCAGGCCTTCTATATGTGCTGCTCCTGTCAGATGCCACAAGGGTCTGTGCTCAGTCTTCATCTGTCAGCTGTCAATCTAATCAGTTTACAAAGACAAACTGCATTGTGCTACAACCATATTAGCTACACCTGCTACTTCTGGTACTACTACTGCTACTTCTTCTGGCATTACCATTATTACTGTTATAGCCACAACTACTACTGCTGGTACTACCTCTGACATACTATTACTGCTTTAGCAACAACTACATTCACTACTGCTTTTACTACTACTATTTCTGACATACTACTACTATCCTAGCCACAACTACCTAAAACTAATACTGCTACCTCTTCTACTGCTGACATACTGCTACAGCAACAACTACAGCTACTACTGCTGGTACTACTACTGTTACTACCTCTGACATACTACTACTGCCATTGCCCCAACCACAACTACTATTGCTGGTATTACAACCAATTCTGAAATGTTACTGCTATAGCCAGAACTACAACTACTCAGTGGTGGGCCGTCAGGGCCAGCTAAGCCTTCTCTGCTGGCCTAATCAGAATCACAAAGTTATAGCTATTTTATGATTTAATAATTTTTTACAAATACACTACATGTATCGTATTTTCTCATTGCACAGCTCCTGTCTTCCTCAGTTGCTCTGCTTCCAGTCTGCAGCGCTGCTTCCAGCACAGCTTGTTTTAAAGAGAGCTTTTATCCAATCAGATTCAGCCCCTATGTCTCTAGGTAAGGAGAGAGGTCCGATGCCTGCTAGAGAAACTTTGCAGTTTAAGTGAATGGGGACGATATCGTTGATTGTCATAGTCTTCAACCAATCAGATCTTTAGTTTGACATGTTGGGTGTGTTCTTTGATGTGCCAGTGGCACCGAGGTAGCCTGCTAAGTACGTCAGCAATAACATGTGCCGTGATTGGTCAGTGGGCCAGCGCGTGACTAATGTGAAATTTAAGGAAGCTGGCAGAAGTTAGTTGGAGTAGTAAGAGTTCAAATTGAAAGATATGGAAGAAATTATAAAATGTTTAGGGTTTTGCTTGGTGTAGTTTATTTATTTTTATGAATGGTGTTCCTGGCTGACAGCGTCGCACATTTTGTGGCTGGGAATGTGTTTCATTTTAACTGAGCGTCTTGGTGTTTGGAGCTATGCTACGCTAACCTGAGGACGCCATAGCACTGCAGGACACTACGGTGCTTTTGAAAACTTTTGGAGAAACCAGAGTGGATCAACGAACTCGTTCGTAGGCAACGCTGCTCCACAACCGCGGTCCGGCAAAATACAACTTGGGAGGCTTGACTGTCACTGGCATGAATCGAGAAGGACTTCTTACTGGAACTGAAACGATGTAAACTCTTTGTCAACAAAGAAAGGAGGATGGACTTTGTCTTTAAGTGAAAAGCATTCGGTAGGTGACAAACTGCATTTGTTTTTTTACATCTGCAGTAACGTTACTGCTGTTCATTTGTCTATCGTGCCGTTTTTATGAATAGTATTTGAATGGCTTGTGCTCTTGTGTGGTGGAATGTGTGGATCCGCTGCAGGTCTGCTGGATTGATGTGTTGCTTTGTTGTCATATGAATATATGTGACTGGTTCTTATGACTTTGTTGTTGTCATTGTGTTAATTACATTGATTTGACTATGCATTGTCCGTTAATGACGCAGCGTCCCGTCATGCACGGATTCATGTATCTGCACCGTAGCTGTTCAACTGTAGTAGACAGCACAGAAGGCCCAGGTATAAAATGCACAGCCCGCCACTGCAACTACTTATGCTGGTACTACCTCCACTTCTACTTCTGACATACTACCTCTGCAATAGCCACAACTACAAAAGCAGTTTTTACTGCTGTTACTACTTTTGATGTACTACTGCTGTTACCGCTAATGCTATTACTTTTAACATACTGCTACCGCATCAGCCACAACTACAACTACTACTGCTGGTGCTACTACTACTACTTTTGACATACTGCTACTGCTCTAGCCACAACTACAACTTCTACTGTTCATAGTAGCTACTGCTGCTTTTACCTCTGCTATAGTCTTTATTTAACTGCTCGTACTATTACTGCACCTTTTGTTTTACTAGTACTGGCTTAACTACTACTGCTGATATTACTTTAACCACAACTTATATTGCTGATACTACTACCACTACACTGCTGATACTAGTTTGAACATATTATATAAGATAAGATTAGTCCTGTACTACTCCCACAGCGGGAAAATACCCAGTAAAGAAAAAAAGAGAAAAGTATGAATATACTGTATATGATGTATAACAAAATAGTAAGTAAACAGTACAAATATCATGAATAAGTTGATATATCTACTCTGATATGATGCATAATATTTCATAAGCTCCATTTCCACCCCAGCATCCATATTTAGGCTCAGAGTCCAACACCATGTCCACTCAGGCCGTGAAGGGTTCAGTCCTGTGTCACAGTCACGTGTGTTCAGCAGCCGTAGTCTAACATGCCTTCACTCTATTTAGGCGCAAAGGATGACAGAACATAGACTTCACACTCACGGGCAAGTCAATAGTCAACAATTGATTCACTGATGAACCTAACCCACACTAACAAGGGGAGAACAGGCAGTCTCCACACAGAGGGCCCAGCGGCTAGCGGGTTTGACCCCAGAACCCACTTACAGTGTTAGCCACTGCGCTTCTGTGCTGAACTTTGCATTGGTTGCACATATCTCTACATTGTTCTGCATTAATGTGGCAAACTACTACGACTGCCACTAGTACTATCACACCGATCGCTACTGCTACTTTTTACGTGCCCTGCTACTACTTCCCATAGACAACCAGTGTAATGGGGCTCAATGCTGCAGTAATTGAGTAATCTTCAGGGGTTTTCAAAGTCTAAGACGGTGGGCACCCCCTCAAACCCCCTTAGTTTACTCACCTAATTCCGCTCAATTACTGGATGCCTATGGGATAATGATTATGGTATTGGATCCCATAGACTCCCTTACATTGCGGTTTGGCATAACTCCAGACTACAGCAAATAAATAAAAAAGGTTCTGAGGCATTTGCTAGTTTCTGACTCTGGGGAAGTTGGAATAACAGTCAAATTCCCCAGAACTGCTGCAACTGTTGTAGAGGCCCGCCTCCCACTTTGAAAAACCCTTATCTAGATGTAGTAGTAAAAGCAGAGACAAACTAAAATAATCTATCTATCTATCTATCTATCTATCTATCTATCTATCTATCTATCTATCTATCTATCTATCTATCTATCTATCTATCTATCATCATCATCATCATTATTTTCAGTTGAGGAGATTTTGCCATTTCACATAGAAATGAATGGAATTGTAAAACACATGCTGTTGCTGAGATGATATTGCTGTCGGTCTCTTATCCTGTATCACTTCATCCTCACTCTTTACCTCTTTTTCTTTCCTCACTCAGAATGACATCCCCTCGCTTTATTGAGTTTGTCTGCAAGCATGATGAGGTGCTCAAGTGTTTTGTAACCAGGTGAGTCAACGTGGCCCTCTGCCATCTTTCCACCTCTCCACAGAGCTCCTAGAGACTGGCTATTGATCCAGCAACTTCTTTCCTCTTCATTTAGTTTACTTTCATCTCTTTGTTCCCCCTGTCTTGCTTCTTGCACTGTTCATCCCTTGGCCTCCTCTTTTTCAGGAATCCAAAGATCATCTTTAACCACTTCCATTTCCTGCTTGAGTGTCCAGAGTTGATGTCACGCTTCATGCACATTATCAAGGCTCAGGTAAGACATGATGAATTATTTCATTCAATGTTTTGAGGGACTGAATATGAAAACACAAGTTTGGAAGCTAACTCCAGTCTGCCAGAAAACGTGGTCTGTTCTGTCAGAGCAAGAAGTAACCGTTGTATTTAGCCAGAAAGTGTACACTTTAAGTATGTAACACACAACTTCCAAAAACCTTTTTTAATATTTATTGATTTGAATGTTTTCTTCTCATGGTTTGAATGGTCGGTTACTACTGCTACACAGTGATACATGGCAATATACAGTAGACTTAGGAGGTTTTCACATATAGTCCTTTTTAAAGTGAGCTAACATAGTTCTTTTTACATTCATATTGTCAGTTCATTTGAAAAATAATTGACTTCTGTTTGTGGTCCACTTCAGCTCTGATGAGGCCTCAGTCCTCTTTCTGTTCACTAAAGTTACTACCTTATCTCTTTGCTGGTCAATGCTTTCCCCTTTAAAGACATGTTACGGGTTGGCACAGGCACATCCACACAGAACACTGTCCAGTGTGTCATAAAGGGGCATGTGTCTTTTATTTTATAGTGCTGTTAAAACATCTCCTTCAATTAACTGTATTTATTTATAACTTTCTCGCCAAAAACTTAATTTCAAGATGACATTTGAACACATTATAATTTTTACCAAATACTAATTCTTACCATGTAGAGCTTGAACGCATCATAAGGTTACTCAATGCAACCTCAATGCTAACCCTTTCCAATAGTTCCAATTAGTTTGAATTAGTTTAACCAGTGGTGGGCCATCAGGGCCTGCAAGGCCTTCTCTGCTGGCCTAAACAGAATCACAAAGTTAGAGCTATTTTATAATTTAATATTTTTTCTTAAATACACTACATGTATTTATACAAATATTTTTCCCATTATCTTATGTTCTCATTGCACAGCTACTGTGTTCCTCAGTTGCTCTGCTTCCAGTGCAGCTTGTTTTAAGTAGAGCTTTTATCCAATCAGATCTCACCTCTGTGTCTCTAGGTAAGAAGAGAGGCCCGAGGCCTGCAGACGCACAAGTGAATCCATGTGCACTTTAAGTGAATGGGGATGATATTGTTGATTGTCATAGTCTTCAACCAATCAGATCTTTAGTTTGACATGTTGGGCGTATTCTTTGATGTGCCAGAGCCTGCTAGCTGGCCTACAAGTACATCAGCATTAACACACAGCTTAGTTTCCAGGTGCAGCTCTGCAGTGAGGTGCAGTGTGTGCTGTGATTGGTCAGAGGGCGAGCACGTGACTATTGGAAAACGAAACCTAAGCAGAAGCTTAGTCGGAGTAGTGAGAGTTCAAATTGAAAGATATGGAAGAAGTTATGACATTTTTTGCAATTTGCTTGGTGTAGATTATTTTTTTAGCTAGCTTTGTTTTTTTAACACTCAGTGACTGAAGGAGGAGAAACTGATTTGTGAGTTGGGATTTAACCGTGGGATTAAACTCTTTGTCAACAAAGAAAGGAGGATGGACTTTTTCTTTAAGTGAACAACAGCTTTGTTAAGTGAACTGCGTTTGTTTTTACATCTGCAGTAGCTTTAATATGCTCGTTTATATATTATTATTATTTGTACAACTTGTTTTCATGAAGATGGATTTTTGTTTGGTTTTATATGTGATAGGAACCATTGTTACGTCCAGTGTTTCTCTGGGGACATATTTAGCCGGTGCCAGTTTTGCCAACTTGGCGACTTTCTCGCTAAATTTGGCGACTTTCCAAACCCTCATGGTAACTTTTTTTTGTCAAAAGCTACTAGCGACAAATCTAGCGACTTTTTCTGGTGTTGTTGGAGACTTTTCTGGTGTTTTCACTCTGACGTGAAAGCACGTACGTTCTGCACTGTTGTGAACGAGCAGCAGGTGCTGCCTTGAGCCGCCCCAAAGCACTCACACCGTTAGCTGTTAGCTGGGAGCACCGTTAGCTGTTAGCTGGGAGCCGTCGGTTCAGCTGTCGTGTCCTTAACGACTCAAGGTCAAAGCCTAATCTTAACCAGTTTCTCTGCCTTAACCAGCTTCGTGTGGTGGCTCTTGCCAGGAAATGAAATGCAGTAGAATTTGTAATTACTCGCCAACTCACAGTCACCATGTTGAGGGCTGTTCAGAGGCAGTGGAAATGCTCCCAATCTCGTATCTTGCAACTTTTAAAAAAATCTCAAGTATTGAAGTCTGTATTGGCCTTAAGAATCCAGTTTCCTTTACTGTAATTTCTTGTTACTTATCGGCCCACATGTAAACTGATAATGATGCATCTCTGATAAATTAACTTAAAATATAGACTGATATATCAACTTTTCCAATGTTATGTTCAGCTCTTTTCTAACCAGAGCGAGGTAACCCTCAATTTTTATTACAGGTTCTTCTCACCCTGCATCCTGTCAGGACCTTGTACAATCAGCCATCATTTATTAGCTCCCACACTGAGTAAAATTCACAACTTTTTAACCTCGTACTTTATTCTCTACTTTGATGTCCCTCTGTGTCTTTATGTTTGTGTCTTCTGGGACTTAATGGAAAGTGACTTTGAAACTTCACTTCAGGATAATTTAACAATGTTACAACCATGGCGATAATACTTGTCTTAAGTTCCATTTATATGGCTTCATAAATTTTAAGTGCTGCTCCGAGTTGTGTGCTGTTCCCTTACTCTTCAGTATTCATATTTGAGCTGCAGCGTTCGAGCCTCGTTACCCATGGATTATGGCTCGCCTGGGAGTAGGCCCTTGTTTTAATTACAGACTTTAACCTGGTGAATTTGATTTCATCTCCTGATTCCTCTCTCAGTACAGCCCAAGGGAAAAGCCTTTCACTCTCTTCCATGCTCATCCCTCATTCTCCCTCCAACGCTTAGAGAACAAAGGCATATATTATGCAAATAGACCCCAGACGAGCATTTCAGAACTGAAGGCTTTCCGAGCCGTCGGTCGAGACTGAAAAATCCACAGTCTGAGAGTAGAAAACACAGCGAAGTGGTAATTAGTTTAGGAAAGTGCTGTGCAGTGTGGGATGAAGTTGTATTTTACTCTCTCAGCCCTTCAAGGAACGCTGTGAGTGGTTCTATGAACATCTGCTGGCCGGCCAGCCAGATTCAGACATGGTGCATCGTCCGGTCAACGAGAACGACATCCTGCTCATCCACAGAGGTACACAGGCTCCTCTTTATACATGAATAGAGAAAGTGTATGAGGGTGAGAATATCACACCAAAATCCATTCAAAGAGTTAATTTACACTCCAATGTCATGTTGCCTGGCTTATTAAATGCACACAGAATGAGCAAAGGTGGATATGTGCCGGTTGTTGGTGCCAGTCTACCACAAACGCACACTTGCGTGTTGGCTAACAACATTGCGCTGTTGCCACATTGGTCTCATGGAAATACATTTTTATGCATTGCTAACATCAGTCTAAACAACGCCAAAGTGCCTTAAAGTTCTCCATATCTCCTGAATGCTTTCTTCTAAGTAAAAAACATTTTTTATCTCACTAACAGATACCATATTCAGGAGTAGCTGCGAGATGGTTTCCAAGTCCAGCAATGAGAAACTCAAACAGGGCATTGCTGTTCGCTTCCATGGAGAGGAGGGGATGGTGGGTTTCTAAATTCATATGACCCTGCATGAGTTCTCATTAATAATACGCCTGTTTCAGGTGTGAGCTGATGGAGCAGCAGTACTTCTGTCTCATGAAACCCACAGCAGTGAGCTGTGTTGAATGTGTCTGTATTTTACAGGGCCAGGGTGTGGTTCGGGAGTGGTTTGACATCCTGTCCAATGAGATCATCAACCCAGACTATGCTCTGTTCACTCAGTCAGCTGATGGTACATTGTGTTTTCCTTCCTGTGATAATGTTCAGCGTGACAAGCAGAACTTCGTCATGTAGAATAACGGTGTGTGTGTGTTTGTATGTGTGTGATCTACAGGTACGACTTTTCAGCCCAACAGTAACTCCTCTGTGAACCCAGACCATCTGAACTACTTCCAGTTTGCAGGTCACATCCTGGGTCTGGCTCTGTACCACCGACAGCTGGTCAACATCTACTTCACCCGCTCCTTCTACAAACACATTCTGGGTAAAAGAACACAGGCATATGTATAATCTATGGCATCATTTGCCCTTAACCCTTAAACTGGAATGCACATGCATCATACACACACTGTTGGAATCAGCAGGACTTACTCTTTCCGTTGATTATGGAGCCAGAGTAGAAATGAAATCAAAAAGCCTCAAAATCTCAAAGAGACTGAGAAAGACATGTCAGAGACATAGGAGTCAAACCGTAATACCAACACCGACCATATCAAATGCGCAACTCAAATCAAGCAGAATTAAATGAGAAGCATCAGACCTTATTAACATTTTATTTAAAAACAGTTAAGTTTAAAATTGGTCAAAAATGTCAAATTGTAGGTTTCTTTCAGAGGGTCAGACTATTGCATTTTTTAAACTGGGCGGGACAGAGCCAGTAGACAATGAGCAGTTAATAATGGAGAGAATCTGTGTCTGAAATACCTCTTTCAGAAATCTAGTGGGTATAATGTCGAAGTGGAGGAAGCTAAGTGGGAGATTAACTAACAATTCTAGCATTGAAGTTGGCTTGTGTTGAGACATACTGCAGATGGTTCAGTGCAGATGCAAAGCTTCCTGATCATAGGTGTGATAAGGAGCCTAATCTCATCCATATGCTAGCTAGAAGTAAGGTTAACCACTGAGTTGATTACCAGCTATTTAACTGTGTGCTGATTGGCCAAAATCCGTCTCTTCAAGGTATTAAGAGATTGATTTTTTTTTTTTTTTTTCCATTTTTGCTCAGCTCACTTACTTTGACTCTTTAAATCGCTGCTAAGGTCATTAAGCCAGAGGACGTCATTATGTTTTCCTTAAACTAGCTAACTGGTTGTTCAATTCAAAAAGCAGCATCAGTGCTTAGCAGCAGAGCTACACCTCTGCCATGTTGGACTGAAGGCGCTTACCATATTATCAGAGGATGCCAGCAAAACGTCTGCCTGGTGCCTACAGGTTCCATATGTGAGTGCAGAATCTGTTTATAGAGATGACGTACTTCCAGAATAGAAGTACAGTAGACCAAAGATCATGGATGTATAAGAGGTTGAGCCCTGTGTGTTAGCCTCCAAATAATAGTAACGTTTATGCTGTGCTACGAGCGCTAGTATCTGCTGGCCGATAGCCGGTTGTTTGGGAACAGAGAGGTTAATACATTCATCACAGGTACAGGCTTGGCCCATGGGTGGTTCCGCCCATTGATGTTTTAGAAGATAACAGTGATGAATTGCAGCCAACATGTCATTATTATAGCCAGCAAGAAATTGGCAGAACCAGATATGTCATATGAGCGTGCAGGTCGGCCTACGTTCATGATGCTAAGGTCAATAATTCTAGCTTCAGCTTTTAGGACATAAGGATTTAAGAATGGATTTTAAGTGCTTGTACAGAGAAGTTGCTTTACTTGAAAAATTATTCTGATTTCCAGATGTTTCTTTTCTACATCCATGGCCACACACTCATTTCAGTTTTCACTCAAAAAGTCAGTTGTCAAATAAGCACCAGAGTTTAGTCTTTCTGCTCCTATTCTCTTTGATGTAATCAAGGATAGTTTGACAAGTACTATTAAAGTGATCCAATAAATCAGAGCGCCCCCCCGATTTAAGGGTATCGCAGGCAGGGGCAGGTAAACACTGCAGACAGGAAGGGGGAGCAACGAGGTATGGACGGTTACAGCCTTATGACAAAATATATTCAAATCTAGAAATTGAATATTATTTAGAGAAACATAATAAGACACCAATAGATCAAGGGTATGTTCCTTATTAAGAGTAAGAATTGTAACACATTTCAAGATTAAAAGACTGAAAGGTTAATCAGGTCGGCAGTAAAAGCAGACATGGAGGGGCAACAAACATTTCTATTAAAATCACCACGGATAAGAACAATCATATTTGACCAAAATAAATGATGATTGAATAAAAGCAGTGTTAGCTTTTGGCTAAGAAGAAAATATATAAAAGCTAGGGTTGGTTATCTTTAGATAATTAGCAGGAGTATGCTATGTCTTTAAAATGATTCAACCTAAAAACACAGCCCAGTGTTGCCAACTCTTTCCAGTGAAAGGAGCTAGCAGCATTGGATCCAAAGGTTACCAGATCTAGCAAGTCAGTAACACTGACAGTCTGTCCATTCAGGCCTCCCTCAAAAGCCCCCAAAAGGATCATTATGAATGTAAACAACCAACATGGCTAGTGTTAGTACTCACAGCTGTTGAGCTAGTTTTTTTTTGTCAGCATTTCATTCATTGGTTTCTGTGGGGAATTTATGCCTTTAAAAGAGAAGGGGAGCATTTTAGCTGTTATTGAGAATGACAGCTATGCCAACCCCACAGCCAGACAGCCTAGCTTGATTAAAACAGGAGTAAATGGACTGGACTTGTATAGTGCCTTTCTAGTCCTACAACCACTCAAAGCACTTCAACACTACATGTCATCATTCACACACTGATGGCAGGGCCTTCCAAGCAACATTAACTAACATTCAGACTCCGTAGGCGCAGTCTTCGGGAGCAATTTGGGGTTACTGGACTCTTCAGATTGGAGGACAACCAGGACTGAATGATCAATAAGAAATCAATATTGTTGACATAATACAATGTATCACCAGGTATCCCGGTGAACTACCAGGACGTGTCGTCCATTGATCCAGAGTATGGGAAGAACCTGCAGTGGATCCTGGACAACGACATCAGTGATCTGGGCCTGGAGCTCACCTTCTCTGTAGAGACGGACGTGTTCGGGGCGATGGAGGAAGTGCCGCTCAAACCCGGAGGGACCAACATCCTGGTCACCCAGGACAACAAGGTCAGTCACCACACAGAGGCATAATGTCTGCCAGTGTCAACATAATGCAACGACTTGTTTCATTATGTTTCAAAAAGTGGTGTTAGTTGTAAGAAAATGTTTTGGATGGCCTGAATACAATTGATAAAATTAGCTCTGCATTTAATTTCTATTCTGGTCTTCCTATGTATCTATGCATCTATAAGATCACAGATTGTACAAAATAAGAGAGTCTGACATTTCTCCACTGGTTACCTGGGAACCTCACATAAAAACACAAGTTGACATTTTTACACTTTTGTTTTTCAAAGGATTAAAGGAATGACATCTAACATACTAGTTAGTGAGCATCAGAGGTGGATTTCAGTACCTTTAGATAGAACCAGCCTAGCCTTTCCCCCCTATTTCCTGTCTTTATGCTAAGTAGTTTGCTTCTGACTCCATATTTACCTGACATGAATGACAATCTTCTCTAAGCTCAAAATGTAAAACTATCCCTTTAAAAGATGCCAGTAGAGTTGAGTATTTAGCAGCAAGTCAAATGTAAATGTGTGGCAGCCGTTGCTTTCTGTCTGTTCTTTTTGGTTTGAGTATTTGGACAGGTTTCTACATGTATGATGTTTATGACTGAATAAAGTCCGATCAAATCACTCTAAACATTTCAGAACACTCGTGGATGTGTATGTGTGGACTTAATGATGAAACTAGATGTGGAGACTTCAGTATTTTTGCGGTGTCATGCTGCAGCAGTGCGGCTGGACGTGGCATTAATGACTGGCTTAAGGTCGACTCTAGTATATTCATCCATACTTGGTCTCCTATGAGCGATTGATCCCTCTTTTCCAGCTAATTGCCAGGAAGAGTCCCAATTAGAAAGTGCAGTACTGCAGTGGTCCTGCAGATGGCACTGTCTTGTAAAGCAGGTTCCGGACCAGCAGGAGCCGATGAATAATCCTGTATGAGCTCCGTCTCTTTCTCTTGTCCATCAGTATGTCTTCGGGACTTTGATCTGTGTGTGTCCTCTCAGGCCGAGTACGTCCAGCTGGTTACAGAGCTGAGGATGACGCGAGCCATCCAGCCTCAGATAAACGGCTTCCTGCAAGGATTCCACACCTTCATCCTCCCCTCGCTCGTCCAGCTTTTTGATGAATACGAATTGGTTAGTCATCCTCCTCCAATCTCCCTGTCTTCTCCTGCCTTCCCCCTCCTCTCCCTCTCATTCATCGTCTTCTACTGTCGGCATTCTCCTTGTTCCCCTGCCTGCCCGCTTGGCTCTGATGCAGGGATTGATTCACCACGTCTGGACGGGCATCTAGTTAGGGGGGTAGTTGGGGTCACCTTGAAGCTCATCCCTCTTCTCCAACTGCATTAGAAGGTTGTTTTTGTGCAAGGATCAATAGTGTAGCAAGATGATTATCTCACCTTGGTTTTGTTGGACATGCCTCGGCCATGCTGTCATTGCAGGGCAACCTACAAGTGAACAGCCTGCTCTGTTTTTTCACAGCTGTTTCACTCTCACTATAATCAGCTGCTTTCAGCACTGTATGTGTAGCTAGAGTTTAAATCTGTGAGGAATGTTTCCAACACCTTGTTGAATCTCTGCTACGAAGAATTAAGGCAGTTCTGAAGGCAAAAGGGGTCCAACCCGGTACTAGCAAGGTGTACCTAATAAAGGTGTGTGTGTGTGTGTGTGTGTGTGTGTGTGTGTGTGTGTGTGT